GGAGGGAATGTTCCCCCTTCTTTTACACCTCTTGACCTTTGACCTTTGACCCCCAGCTTCGACATCACAACTCGTTTTGACGTTTCCCCCCAACCTCGAGCGGTTAAGATTTGTGCCCAACTGTTGACGGACGCACGGACGGACGCTCGCACGGACGATCATGCGATTCTACAAGCTGCATCTGACTATGTCAGATGAGCTAAAAACACTACCACATTATGTTAACCTTTCGTTACACTTCTCTCGTCCAAATGTTTGGAATTACAAACGTATTTCGCATATGTTATGGTTTCTCAATTTCTCATGTCTACTACTTTTTATGAAGCATGGGTCGAAATCACAAGGGGCCCGTATTTTAAGGCTCGGGCCTGACATTTCTAATTCTAGCAAGCACGACGGGCCCATAGAAAATCCCCCCACCCCCAGCATGCAAAACCGTCCCTGGCATACCAGCGAGGATGAAAAGTTACCGCAGTATCGCTCACTTGTGTCAAGTTTGTGTCAAGGCCTGTAATTTTCCTGGCGGGCCTGTAAAATCACTTACCTACAGGCCCGGCTAGCCTGTAAATTTTCAAACTAATTTCTACCCCTGTGAAGGCAATTAGGAAATGATAGCATAAGTTAACGATACCGTGGGTAACCCCTTGTCGACCAAGTTCTCTTACCGACCAACGAATGTCCGATTTTTGTGTAATGCTCTGAGACGTCTTCATCCTCACAAGTGAAATCGTCCGTGTCTATCACCTCAGATGAATTCATTTTCAACATCGCAATGTTGAAAATGTAGTCTTTCTCTCACCCAGCAAACTAGCGTTGCATCATGTTTAGAAGCTAATGAGCCAGTTAATTATTGCACTGGAGTTATATAGCCATTAATCCACTGCTAGTGCTGCTACCTGCAAATAATGGACCCAATTATAGTTAGCACCACAGCTTAGTTTAGCACATTTGTGATAGTGACAGTTGGGCTCCCAAACTAGGAGTGAGCACAAGTAATGTGCATGGAAAGATATATTCTTAGTATCTAGATAAACGCTTCCATAATTTGATACACGTCACGTGCTACATTTTATTTATACGTCGACATAGTAGTACTTGACATCTTCATAACATTTTTGTTAATATTTTGCTGTTATGCATAGGCGGGCCACTGCAGAGTCAATGTGGGTGGATTAGCGTCAGTGTTTCAGTGCTAAAAAACCAATTACATCTTTACTACAGCAATTACATCACTAAAGACGGGTAGCGTGTTAGATTCTGCACACACCCTAACTAACTACGCCACGGCACTCGTTAACCACCGACAAACTTCATTTCGCGCAGAAGTTGCAGGGCTAGATTTTTCCAGACTTTTGTGTTTTTAAGCAATTATTTCAAAATAAATCCTATTTATAATGTTCTAGTGAAATAGAGGGATAAATTGGATTAACATTGCATTTTATTTTTACCAATTACCACTACTAGAGTAGAGGCTGTCAACTATAAGTATAAGTATAACCAAGAGCTCATAATAGAGAAGAGTATGACACCGTTTTCACAGCGTTTTGCATAGTTTTCAACTTGTAAATATTCTATCAATATGTAAATAAATATATTCAAACTTTACCTTGTTTTCGTTTATGAATCTCCCTTAATCATATGACACCACCAATTTACCTGAAAATCGTATGTGTTCTTCAAAAAAGTTCTTTAAATACGACACGGTTTCACACAGTTTTCCCAAATGTTCGCAGTGTCCTTACTTACTTTTCATGTAAAAAAATGGCAATACATTTAAAAAAAAAAATACACTAT